ACATGCTAAACTTCGTATACATGCTAAACTTCGTATACTTGCTACACTTCGTATACGTGACATGCTAAACTTCGTATACATGCTAAACTTCGTTTTAGAGCTCTGGCGATAATTAGAGCTCTGGCGATAATAACAACCAAAAAAAAAATTAAATATCATTCAGTTGTTAATATAAATACCACTAAATTCTGCTAAATTCTGCTAATCCTATTGTTTTCTATTGTTTAATTAGCACTATTTACTACTAAATAGTGCAAAGTGTTGCACACTTTTAGTGTTTGTATTCTAGCAATTTTAGGTTATCATCTCTTGTTGTAAGTTAACTACCATTTTTTTGTTGCAAAATTGTCAGTTGACTTGGTACGGCTAGAAGACCGACACGAGAATTAGAGTTCTATATATCAGCCAGAGGTTGTTTTGAAAATCATTAGTGGTATGCTTGATTGAATTAAAAGATAGGAAAGTGTTAGAGGTAAAAAACACTTTGCTTTAGGACGCTTCTTAAAACTATCCTTTAAAAAAAACTGGGATCCTCGTTTTTTCGACTCACCTCTTGGTGTTTGAAAATCGGATGAAATAATCGTTTATATATTTGACATATTACTTWAAAAATATGCCAAATTGATCCCTGTGAAGGCAACGATAACAGTCTTACCTTTTTTATCCATCATCCATATAGACGGTCCAGCACTTACAAGCATACACAATGGAGCCCAACTAGTTATAAAGATAACCTGCCAGTTTTTCCATCCAAAAATAATCTTACAAGGTTCAGATATCGGTGTCCACGTATTGAAAGTCAAGTTGCAAATCAAAGCGATTGCTGTATACACAGAGAGAATATACCATCGCCTCTTGTATAGTTGATACTTGTTTGCTTGGAGGCAGTCTTYGGAGCTGGTTTCTGACGACTCGATTAATGGTGAATATTCCTTCTTGTTCATAGTTCTTTTACCAAACTGTCTGTGATCACCTACTAATCTTGCTCGAAGACAAGTCAACCTCTCTTCCCTAAGTCTATAGCTTTACTCCAGCAATGCACTGTAGAAAGTAGTCTTATTTGCCACTTGTCTTGCAATTAAAATCAGAATTTTTATTCACTTCATGAATATGTATTATATTAACAGACATTAAGTTATTTGTGACCATGACCACTCTAAGAAGTCAAGGGTATGCGTACATGCCCAGGGGACGTAGTCAGAATTTTCCGAAGGGGGAGGGGGACAATTTCAAAATTCCGCCATTTTGTTTGAGCATCTGAAACACGGAACAAAAAAGCTTTTCGCTTTACGTTTTATTAGAAATAAATTAACAAAATTAAAAATAACCGTATAATTTCTATAGAGCCACTAATTGCTATAATTGCTATAGCCGACTGCTGTTAGGTAGTGAGAATCTGAAGCAAATCAGGATCACTTCCCTTGCTTTTTCCTTTGTGTTTTGAATTGAAAAATAGTACAATCACGAGGCAGAACTTATTACGATTTTGAGACGGCAAAACCACAAAATATGGACAGCTAGTTGGGAGAAAATACACAATTTCTGACTCTGAATTTTAGCACCAAAGTGTTCCTCAAATATCAAACTATAAATGTATGACATATATATTTGCCGACAAAGTGCAATTCGAAGTCTTCGAAATTGCAACTGTCATCTCATAAATTTAGTACGCTTACATCTTCACTAACTGTACGTTTGGGCCGCCTGTGGCCCAATGATTCAAAATATCCATCACGAGATGATCACGAGGTATTGCGTGACAATCGTGACATTCAAAACGGCATTGTATGATCCTCCTTACCTGATGTACAACGATGAATCACCAGAATGAAAATTCACCTTTAATACCGACAGTCACAGTGAAATCCAAACACAGTTCCGTTAATAATATTGACGACAATCACAGTTATAGCAATTCTTCTATTTCAAGATTCAAAATTTACAAAAGACGATGGTATATACTCTCGATGTATACAGTCATTGCTTTGACGTGTAACCTTGATTGGAATACTTGGGGACCAATATCTCAGGCTTGTAAGATACTCTTTGGATGGGGGAATTGGCAGGTTTTGTTTCTCACAAGTTGGTCTGCCATTTCTATTATTGTGAGTGCTATTCCTTCGACATGGGTGATGAATGAGAAAGGTAGGTCTTTCTATGCTATGGCTGGCTTTCACTTCACTTCTTTTCATCAGCTAAATCGCAAGTTTTCAATAGGATTTTTTGTGGTTGACAGCACATGGTGGTCAGTGTTTGACCACCATTTGGAGCAGATAACGAGATTCAAAAACTTTTATCAGCTGATCAAAATAGATTGAAACAGGCAGTGACAGTTTCTTACCCAGTCGTTTAATTTGCGCGCATTTTTCGCCTTATCATATCAGTGGCGGATCCAGGACTTTAAGAGGGGGGTTCATTTTTGCAAATCTCGGCACAACAATAACGTTCTCTTGCATCATCATTTTTCCCATGAGGCACATCACTGGCCTAGGGGCACTCCTGATAAGGATAACCTATCCATCAAAAAGCGGACCTACCGTACTTTTATTTATTTATTTGAAAAATTAAAAAAAATAAAAAATCCAAGGTGCCAGCCGGTGGGGGGAAGGGGGGGGGGGGTCATTTGCACCCAATGAACCCTCCCTAAATCCGCCAAAGCATATTCCACCATTGCGATTAGGAGGAGAAGAAAACGTAAGCAGTTACATCAGTTCTTATATCACTAGAATATGAGACGTTCTCCTACAAAACAATAACCTGATTATGATCGTTGAAAAAAATCATTGTTTTCGATCGTCAGGTCTAAGAAAATCAGTCATTTTATGCACTTTCCTACTGACTGCTGGCAAAGCATTCCAAGTTATTCCATCCAGTGATCCACTAACAAGAACCATCCTGTTAAACATTGGTCAATGCATCTCTATGTTGAGCACTCCTGTCGGACTAGGAGCACCTCCATCGATCTCCGCTACGTGGTTCCCTCCAAAGGAGCGCACAACTGCGACAGCTATCTCGACGCTGTTCGCCTACTTAGGGGTAGCTTGTGCGTTTGTTGTTGGTCCCTATCTTGTACCTATTACTAAAAGAGTACACATCGGCAGTGTCGATGTTGCTTTCACTAACCACACGGTATATGACATAGAAACAATGACCACGAACCTATCTGAGTACATGGGCATTCAGTTAGGTATAAGTGCACTTTTATTGGTCTGTGTGTTGGTGTATTTTCCCGACAAGCCACCTTTGCCTCCCTGTGCAACGTCCAGCAGTAGGCAACACAGCTATGTAACGAGCGTCAAGAAACTAGTGGTGAATGGACCGTATCTCTACCTTGGGCTTATCTTTGCCATGAGTTATGGGGTGTATGCTGGGTGGATGGCTGTGCTTTCTTTGGCAGTAAAACCGTTTGGTATTGATGAGTATCTTTCTGGCTGGCTCGGATGTGCTGCTGTCGTAGCTGGGATTTTATCCGGTGTGTGCCTTGCAAGGTAGGGAATTGAATCATCGATGATGATGGTGGAGGGGGTGGAGAATGTGGTCATGGGTGATGATGGTGGGGGTGGCGTGGCTGTACGTTGTCACAGTTGATGGTGGTTTTTTGTGCAAGCTATGTTCATAGATGATGGTGACGGTGGCTGTGGTCATAGATGATGATGTTGGTTGTGGTTGTGGTTGTGGTCATAGATGATGATGGTGGTGGTGGTGGCTGTGGTCGCAAATGATGGTGATATTGGTGTCTGTGGTCATGGATGATGATGGTGGGGGTGGTGTCTGTGGTCATGGATGATGATGGTGGGGGTGGTGTCTGTGGTCATGGATGATGATGGTGGGGGTGGTGGCTGTGGTCATAGATGATGATGGTGATAGTGGTGGCTGTGGTCATAGATGATGATGTTGGTTGTGCTTGTGGTTGTGGTCATGGATGATGATGTTGGGGGTGGTTGTGGTTTTGGGCATGGATGATCGTGGTGGTGGAGGTGGCTGTGGTCATGCATTATATGGTGATGGTGATAAAGAAAACGGTACTGAGATCGTACTTTTATATCATTCAACAGAGTAGTGGATTATATAAAGAGTCATACCAAGACAGTCCTTATATTACTGTTCCTTGGCACAACCATATCTCAGCTTCTATTTACCTTAACCTGCTCTAAAATTATCCCATTTTCCAAGCCACTTCTCTTCTCTTCAATAATCTTTGGTGGTWTATTCTTCAATGTAACGACTCCTCTCATGTTTGAGATGGCCGTGGAGACTGTTTACCCAATAGCCGAAGGTCTGACGGCCATCCTTCTTCTTTGCATTGGATATTCAGTCTATCTGATAATAATAATAACATTCATGTTCCCTGTTATGAACGTTAAATGGATTAACTGGGCTACAGTCATTCTGAACGGTCTTTGTGTGCCAGGGTTAATGGTGTACAAAAACAAGTTTAGGAGACTTGATCTCGAATAACGTTATTCCCATCAGCTATATTTCTGATGGTTTGTATTAATGTAACCTGGATGTATAGCATACCTTAGGATTGGGGAGATAGAAGAAGAGATAAAGGAATGTGTGTAGGGTGGGAGAAAGGCGAGCGCTATCTTTACGTACGTACACCGGGAAATATTCTTATACGATTTTCTTAGAAAATCTTCTTATAACCTGGATATATAGCAGACTTTAGGATTAGGGAGATAGAGGAAGAGATAGAGGAGTGTGTGTTGGGTGACCCATGGGAGAAAGGCGAGCGCTATCTTTACGTACGTCCACCCGGAAATATTCTTATACGATTTTTTTAGAAATAAAAAAGAAGCATAAACAAGATTGGGATATTTAGATCAATATGGTAATGAGAAGTAAGATCGAAAATATGGGAGTTCTACAAAAGAGAACTTTTTTCACCTAGCTTCCTATGCTCAAAATATTTCACTCATCAAAATAGCAGAAACACACATCATGCAGATAGGCTACCTGATCAAACCAAAGGAGGTAACCGTTAGCATATGCTTAGCTTCGTTGGATATATTACCTGATTACCACAGGGGGCCCAATCTTGGTGTTAGTGAACATTTAGGGGAGAGGGGGGGGGGGGGGGGGGGGGGTGGATAGGAATCGCACCGGCTATATAAAAGCTTCTGTTTCAATTTTTGTACAGCAGGCTCTCTGTGGTCACGTTACCAAGAAGTTCTGAGTTTTCCTTCAAGTCTTTTCGATCGTATAAGGAATATAAAGACATGCCTTATAACGCTACGCCAATTGAAGGAACACAAAAGAAATTACTCCGTTAATTTAACGCATGATAGAATTTCTTGAACATCGTTCATGTGGGCTCCCTGTGACAATACAATACAATACAATACAA